TTACAAGGTGTGTTCACACTAGATTTCTCCTCAGAACCCTCCCTTGAGCACCAAAGGCCCGAGGGTAGGTGCAGAGGCAGGCCTCACCTCCAGAGCCCTCACTAAAGGGCCTGATTCCCAGGGCTGTCAGGGGACACAGATTCTTGTGGCCTTATTTCCTAGCGTGGGTGTATCAGGGAGGGCAGAGGAGTAGTGGCCCTCTTTGGTGCTGATGCTGGGAGCTGGGAATGCTCCTGACAGCTGTGTGGGTAATCAGCATTCTCTATCACTGCTAATAGCATGTTTAGCTTGCTGACTGCTCTGTTTGCCTGGAGCCTCCCACAGACCCAGAGCTGGAGGAGGCTTAGCTGCACAGGGCAAGCCTCTGCAGCAGAGAGACCTTCCAGCTTCCTGTGACACCAAGCCAGTGGCTCTCCTCAGGACTCTGGGCCTGGGCCTGGGACTCGGATAGGGTATGGGAGTGTGGAGTGTGCTGCAATTCCTTGCTTCATCTCCCTGACCCCAGGGAGTTCCCCCCAGGCTCTGGGACTAAGGAAAGGGCCTCTCAGCTCATCTCTTACAAGATAAGCATGCCAAGGCCCAGGTAGCTTCCTCTTGCACTGCGGGCCTTGGAGAGCTGGCAGGCATGGGACCAGCCCACTTTAGGTTTTACGTTCACCTCTGCCTCAGGGCTACTACACCCGTCTCCTGCTTGAAAGGGAAGATTCCCCAGTCCCTCTGCCACAGTCATTCTTGAGACCGCTTGCCAGGTTAGTAGTGGGTCACATGCACACGCTACTTTAGGAAGGAGCTTCCTAAAACTGGCTCATCCAGAACCCTGCTCTGGAGAGAGACCCCTGTGTCTGCATGGACTCTGCCCTCCATCAGAGCAGGTCTCACTGCATCACAGGGCCCCCAGCTTCATCCCTGTGCTCATCCTGCCTCAGGAGCTCATGGACTCCTGGGTCACCTGGGAGTGACTACCAGCCTCCAGCAGGCAATAGGGTAACTGGGGCGTGGGACGCTGGTCGGCTCTAGACAGGAACTTACCTATGGTTTCATTTACCTGCTCATTGCCTGTCCTATGAGGCTCACCTCTAGAATGTCCCCTCCTCTAGGAGAAGACTTGCTTCTGGGCACAACGGTCTCTCATGGTCCAGAGGTGGGTGCTGCTACCACCTGTGGCCCAAGATGCTGTTTTCAGAACATGTTTGCCTGCCTTCTCGTGACCGTGTGAACCGTCCTCTACATTTCTTATTTGTCTTAATGACATTGCCCCTCCACTTGTGGAAGGCTTTGGCTGGCCCCACTCTTCACCATTGGAAGGAACTCTGCTATAAATGGCGCTGCACGTATAGCCCGTTCCCTCTGCAGTTCTGTCTCTGGGAGGAATTCCAAACAGTGGGATTATTAGGTTAAAGAGCACAGCATATTTATGGCCCTGTATAGGATGAGGGCAGCCTCCCCCTTAGCCCCTAGGCAGGGCCTGTGTCCCCAAGGTCTGTCTCTGGGTGAATTCCCACACCAATCTCTTCCATATAGAGTCTAAACCCAGCACCCTATTGGCTTTTTGAACAGGCACCAGGGCAGCAGGAGGCGGTGGTGGCAGGGTGGGAGTGGGTGAGCTTTGGGAATGGGGACTGAGGCCAGGAGCCCTGCCTGTCATCAGAGCCCATGCTTCTCTAGGTCCTGGGTCCTGTGACCACAACCATTCCTGCAGTCTCAGAGAAGGGAGCCATGTTCCTCCTGAGTGCATGGGCTTGTGTGCCCCAGACCTCCCTCTAGACCCCTGGGAAAGGGCCCTGTCCGGACTGTTACTCCTGCCCCCATCCCTTGCCATTGCCCCCCATGTCCTCATTTTCCTGAACCTGTTTTCCCCATCATGAGCCTCAGTATGGATTGCAGAGGGGAGGGGTCCCCCATGGTGTCAGCCTGTCCTGGGAAGATTTACTTTAGAATATGCCTTATCTGCATTTTCTGGGGATTTATCTAAATGACCAGTGAGTCGGCACCATGGAAGGTACTACTGTGGGAAGAGAGGACGTGACCATCTGAGTCCTAACCCCAAAGTGTCACGTAGCAGAATTAGGAGCCCCGTGGGCTGTGTGGCCAGTGTGGGTGCCCCCTTCCCTGGCCCCTTTGCCCTCTATGCCTCTAGTGGCAAGAAGTTCTGATGAGACTCCCAGGTAATTTAAGATTTAAAACCCGCCGGGAGGTGGTGGCGCACGCCTTTAATCCCAGCACTCGGGAGGCAGAGGCAGGCGGATCTCTGTGAGTTCGAGGCTGGGCTGGACCGATAGCCTCCAAAACAATACAGAGAAACCCTGTCTCGTAAAAACCAAAAAAAAAAAAAAAAAAAAAAAAGATTAAAAACCCCAGAGGTGAGTTCTGCAAAGCTGCCAGAGTGGTTGTGGTATCATTGGAGTGTCGGGAGACTTGGGGGGCTTTCTTTGGGGGTGCTAGGACCAGGGCCAGTGAAGGGCTCAGGAAGACCACTACCTTGCTAAGGCGAGCTTTATGCTGGCCCAGACGGGTAGGATGAGTATGGCTTGCCAGATGTAGGCCCGGCTCCTATGCTAGCTTCTGTCTGGAGCCCAGGGGAGGGAGGGGCTCAGAAGGAACCTCTGACTTCCGCCCTTGGCCTGGCGCTAGGACCTTTCAGGGCTAGGGAGGTGGGTGGCCTGTCTTCAGCTACCCCTCTCCTTCTGTAGAGCCTTTCTCAGCTATTTGACTGATGAGGGAAACAATGACTGTGGGGCATGTGGGTGCACATACGGGCTGTGTGATTTTTCCTGGACAGGCAGGGCTGAGAGGCAGACACAACCATTCTCTCTAAAATCTCAGATAGGTTCTCCTGAAAGCTGCCAGAGCGGCTGTGGCATCACTGGAGTGTCGGGAGTCTTGGGGCATTCTTTGGGGGTTCCAGGACCAGTCCCAGTGCCATTGAAGGGCTTAGGAAGGGCACTGCTTTGCGAAGGTGACCTTTACATTAGCCCAGCTGCTGTCTAGTACAGAGAACCACAACAGCCAGGCACACAAGAATTCAGTGAAGCTGGCAGGCAGATGCTGCAACCAGGGCAGCAGACAGATGGAGAACCCAGGTCTCTGAGATGTCAGCTGACTTGCTCCTGCCATAGTCAGATGGCATTAGGGCTCTTCATGGCATCTATTCCTCCATGCCCACATGGAGGTCACACTGCTGTAGATGAAGCTGGGCAAGGCTATCAAAGCAGATGGGCTGAGGTCTATGTTGAGAATCAGCCAAGTCCATCTCCCACCTCCCTCCATCCCTCCCTCCGTCCCTCCCTCCTTCCCTCCCAGGCATTTGAAGTCTGTATCCAACTAAATCAGTGAATGATTGGGCATAGAGGACCCTCCTGTGGACTCACAGTGCATGTGTTGTATATGAAAGAAATACTATTGCTGTAAACCACTGAGATTCAGGAGATGTTTGTTACCACGGCCTAGCCTAGTCTATACTGGTTGATGCACTAACAAGGCTGGCCAATAAGATCATTCCTAAAACTTCAGAATAAGGAGTTTTCTGGTGGCTGGGCTGTTATTGTTTCCATGGTAGGAAAACAGGTACAGGTAAGCCATATTTCAGAAAAATAAATGAAGAGTAAAGAGGGCATAAAGAAAATTGCAGACATTCTATTTCCAGTGAAAGATTTGGATGGCTAAAAACTCTTGCATGATTCTTTGAGTCATTGCCTTTTTTGTCATCCAAGATGGAGACCGTGGGGCTGTTTTCATCTCTGTTCTGCTACAGGGTAAAGGGGACAATATGTCGTCACAGATGAGGTGTGGGTCATGGGCCATTGTGCTGACTATATCAACTTGACACAAGCTAGGTTCACTGGGGAGGAAGGAGCCTCCATAACATTGTGCTGTAGGCATCACTGTTCTGCTATAGGGTAAAGGGGACAGTATCTCATGTCACAGATGAGGTGTGGGTTATGGGCCATTGTACTGACTAGTTTATGCCAATTTGACATAAGCTAGAGTCACTGGAGAGGAGGGAGCCTCCATAACATTGGGCTATAGGCAAACCTGTAGGGCTTTTTCTTAATAAGTGATTGATGGGAGAGGGCCCAGCCTATGGTAGGTGGTGTCATCCCTAGGCTGTTTGTCCAGGGTTCTATAAGAAAAACGGCCGAGCAAGCCATGGGGAGCAAGTCAGGAAGCAGCCTCCTCCATGGCCTCTACTCCAGCTCCTGCGGCCAGGTTTCTGCCGTTTCCTGTCCTGACTTCCGCCAATGATGAACAGTGATGTAGAAGCATAGGCCAGATAAACCGTTTCCTTCCCAAGTAGCTTTTGGTCATGGTGTCTCATTACGTCAAAAGTAACCCTAAGACAGCCATCAAAGGACAAGTGTTCACTCGCTCCTTTTCTTTGTAAGACAATTTGAACAGCAGAAAGAATGTAGCTCTTCTCTCCCTCTCTCAACTACACCTTCCCATAGCAACTGTCCTCACCACAGAGCAGCTGCTGTAACCCAAAGGACTGTGTACCCCCAGAAGTCACATGATACAGTCTAAGTCCGTGGTGAGTGTTAAGAGGTGGGACCAGGGGCTGGGGAAGTAAGTCAGTGCTAGCAGTGCTTGCCTGGTCCTGGGCTCAGTCTCCTGCACTATGAGACAAAACAAGAAGCACCATAAGAACATGTCTGTGAGTATGTGGTGTGCACACACTTGTCACAGCACTCAGGACCCCACAGAGGAATGACATCGTGTTGTAACCACTTCCCTAAAATCTGCTTTATTCACACAGTGCTTTGTTTTAGACGGGGTCTTCTACAGCTCAAGCTCACTATGTAGCCAAGGATGACTTTGAACTGCTGATCCCCTTGTCTCCACCCTCTGAATGCTATGATGACATATATGTATGCACAACTATGCCTGATTTATATTGTGCTAGTGATCGAACCGAGGGACTTGTGCATGTTGGGCAAGAACTCATCCAGCTGTCAAACATCAGATTTTTATTTGAGACAGGGTCTCACAGTACATAGCTCTGGATGTCACAGGCTGGCTTGGAATTTACTGAGATCCACCTTCTTTTGTCTCCCAAGTGCTAGGATTATGATGATACATGTTAGCACACCTGTCCCAACTCCATTTGTACCCAGCCTGGAAGAGAAGAGGTGAGGGAGGGCAGGGGCCACCCAGAGCCCTTATGTTCCCAGACTCAGAGAGTGAAGACCAAAGTCCAATGGACATGATTGCGTCTCAGCATCAAGGAAGAAATCCCAGGCCTCTGGTGTTGCACGCTGAGATACGCAGCAGCCCTTCCAAGCAGCCAGTCCTAAGAGACTGTCTAGTTTTTTTTTCTTGTTGCTGTGATAAAAATAACCTGACAAAGGCATTTTAAGGAAGAAAGGGTTTACTTGACTTATAATTACAGATTACAGTTCACAACTGAGGGAAAGTCAAGGCAGGAACTGAAAGCAGCCAGCTGTATTGCATCCCCATTCAAGAACAGAGGGCAAAGGATTAATGAATTCCTGCCAATTCTTAGTGGTTTCTCTCCTTATCAGTCCCAGGGCCCAGCCCATTCAATGGCACTGCCCACGTTCAAGGTGGGTCTTCCCATCTCAATGAACCCAGTTAAGAAAATCCCTCACAGAGCAGGAGATTCCTCATTGGGATTCCCCGGGGGCTTCTACACTGTTTCAAGTCAAAAGCAACCATCACAAAGGCCCAAGAGATGGCTCCAAGTGTAAAAGCACTTGCCACCAAGCTTGAGGATATGACTTTGATCCCTGAGACCCATATGATAGAAGGGAGAACTGAGTCTCACAAGTTGTTCTCTGACCCCTCTTCTCCCCACAAAATAAATAAAAGTGTAATTACAAAATACTAATAAAAAATCAGACCCCCTTCTTAGCTGGGCTAAGGCAACTGACTGCTTTTGGCTTCAGCAGACCTTGGTGTGCCTGGACAGATTCTTCCCACAGGATGTTAGCTCTGGGAGAATAGCTCATCTGTGTTCCTGCCTTCCATAGCAGAGCAGACCAGAGTGGACTCCCCTGCAAGCTGTGTGTGTGTGGCAAAGGATGAGACACAGACTCTCAGCATCCTCACCCAGGCTGCAACAGCCCGGATAGGTATCTCTACAGAAGGTGTGGCAAATGTTACCCAACCAGGGAGGAATCAGTGACCCCAAGATGAAGAATCCAGGGCTGGGGAAGGCAGCTGAAGCAGGGACCAAGTTTTCAATTAACAGCCTCCAGTGCAAATGATTAATGGTTCATCAGTGTTGGTGGCATGACTGCCACGCCCCAGGACTTGGGGATACACAAGTTCTGGATTCCACTGGAATAAGGAATCTTCTGGCTTCTGGACCTGAGGGAACTGGAAAGTGCAGGATCCAACAGGAACATGGTGTGCAGGATGGTCACCATAGGGGCGGTATAAGTCAACTGTACCTACCCTTTTAGCAGAGCTCTATGCTTGGGGATGAGCTAGGGAGATGCTGGGGTCATAATGTAGACAGTGATTTGTCTATCACTTGCAACTTGCAACTAGTACCATGGTTGAAAATGCAAGTACAGAGGTGAGAGCAGGCACATTGTGGGGACTTTAAAATTAAAATCTGTACCTTACTCCCACCTTTGTAAAAGGTTCCTCTGTTCCTCTGCCAGGGAACAGAGAAGGAGACTGAGCCAATTGGTATCTTGAAGCAATTCCCCAGCCACTCCAGGGGACAGAAAGTGTGTAAGAAGTCACTGATGAAGGTATGGCTTGAGAGCTTTCATTTACTATCTGCAGCTCTCCTCCAGCCTCAGTTTCTATATCCATAGAGAGGGCAGGAATGATGCCCGCCTTGAATGATGGCTCTGAGGTTGGATAATATATGAGTTGGCTAAACGGTGTTATGGGGGGAGAAATAAGAGGAGGAGGAAGAAATAAGAAAAAGGAAGAGGGGAAAACTAAGGAAGGGGGAAGGAAAGAAGGAGAAGGAGCCACCACTGCCATCACACCTCAGCACTAAGGAGGCTAAGGCAAAAGGGCTGCCATGAGTTCAAGGCCAGGCTGGGCTGCATGCTGAGAATTTCAGATAAGCCAGGACTGTAGAATGAGATGGTCTTAAGAAATAAAAAGAACAACAATAAAAGAATGTTGCCCCAGGCAAAGGTCAAGAGCAACATCATTCGATACACCCCCACGAGCTGGCAGGGCTCTTAGAATGCTGGGTAAAGGTTCTGGATTGTGTCCTTTGCCTTTGGGGATGGGCAAGGTCCACGGGCTGCTGGAGGCCTGGGCCCTGGGTTGGGGCTGCCCCCTTCTGTCTTACCAGGGAGGGTTAGCTGGGCCTGTGAGGGTTTCTCCGGTTTGCTGGGCTTCGGAAGGCCTTCCTCTGGCTCTCTGGGACCCCAGGAGCAGAAGTAGCTCATGTTCCATCAGCAGCAGACTCCCCTCTGTTGCCATCTTGCAGCAGCCTGGCAGAGTAACTTCCTGTTGCTGACATGGAATACCACAGGTGGAGTCATTTATAGACTAAAGGATTCTGGGGCTCATGGTCCTCAAGACCAGGGAGCTCAAGACCAGTGGCTGCCTCTGGTGAGGGATTCTGCCATGTCCTAGCATCTCATTTCAGGATGAGGCAGAAATCATGGTTCTGGGTCCTCCACAAAGCCACAGTCCCACTGGATAAAGTCCCAAATGTCCCACCTAAATTGCCACATTTGGGCTACCCTTCCACCTTGCTGATGTCTACCAAGGGTTTGTGTGTTGGAGGGTGCACTGGCTCTGCCCCCTTCCTGTTTCCTCACCCCCCACCAGTCAATCCCACGATAAACTGTCAGTCTGCTACCTAGAAGGTCCGCTGTGCCCAGAGTCTGGGGCACAGCTGCAGAAGCAGCTGCCTGTTCTTACCTCTTCTGTTAGCCTGCCCCTGCAGCTCCTGCTAATTCTGCAGATCAAACCTCCCCCCTGCCCCAGGTGATCTCATTTCTCCTGGAGTCTCCATGCTATGGTCCAAAGCTCAAGCCACTATTTCCTGCTCATTTTCCAAAGACACAGCCTTCTCACCCATTCTCTGTAGTTGGCACTCTGCTCTGCGTCCATCTGAGTCTTTAGAGGCAGAACGTTCCAGAAACAGCTTTTAAAATTCCCTTCTTAGTCTGTTTATATTCCACTGGAGCTCTTCCCTCAACCCAAGGATACCACCTTTCTCCCAGACCTTTTGCTCACTGTGGCTAAGCACAGCCCTGGGCTCTGTTGGGAGTGGCCTTGTGCCCACAGAAGAGTCTGACTAGAACTCAGTTCTCAGATCAGCAGGAGTCACAGATGAACCCGCTGCTACCCCACACCTAGAGGTTCAGACATTGTGCTACCAGCCACTGGGGTAGTCAGTAACTCTACAGGGTCATGAGAACAGAGGACGTCCTGAGTAAAATAAGCCGCTTCTGTTTCCTAAGCTCAAGGCCAATTTAATGTGACATTACCTGACTCTATTGCAAAAAACCAAAGTAACGATTTCAGATGTTACACTGGTGCCTTTCTATCCCCCCCCAGTTTCCTGTCTCTCTTCACAGTCAAAAGAGCCTTAGGATTGCCCCAGGTCCCCATGGGTGATCCAGGATAGCCCAGCTCTGGGTGTACACTTCGTATGTGTGAAGCTGCCATGCATCCCAAAACAGCTGTTTTGTTGTCCTGTTCATACTTGTCAGATCTTGGAGGTCACTGGTTTGAAGATACTGTTTGTTCTCCCTTCTCTTGCCCTATATAGCTCCCTGGAATTTGTATGAGGGTCATGTTACCAGGAAGGGAACAGAGGTCTAATGGAAAAGGGTGCACTCAGGACCCCATCAAGCCAGTCCGAAACCTGCTCACAAGGCTCCACACTACAGAAAGTCATTTTTTTTCTTGGTGACAAACACCCACCAATCAGAATAAGCAGAAGCTTTGGAATTACAGGCATCTTGGAATGAAAGGGCTCCTTGTGGGGTATACGTTGAAGGCTGCAGAAACAGCGGTGGCCATTTTTGCCACGCAGGGCCAACCATCCTGAATTGGCTGACTTGCAGAGAAGTGGAGATTAAAACAAACCCGACTTGCTGAGAAAATACTGCAAAGAAATGACACCAGCTCCACTCTGCAGTTCTGGTGTCTGGGTAGGCTACCAGTTCTCTTTATGGGCCAATCCATTTGAACTGGACTTTTTGCTACTTACAAAATCGAGATCTGAGAGGTCCCAGGGTGGATTTACAATAGTATTTGATCAGAACACAGAACACCCAACATCCATACCACCCCTTGCCTCCAGTTCCACGGAGCAGGCCCTCAAAGGCCAACACTCTCCTGACTCCAAAGAGGCCCCTCCCGCCTCAGCCCTCCCAGTGAGAAACGGATATCCAGGCTTGCATCAGTCCCAACTAACCCTTTTTCCAACTCTACCTAAGGTCTAATTGACTATCCAACATGACACTAGGATGCATACCTCTCCTAGGAATCTAGGAAAGCACTTTGTTTCCAGAGGGAAGGACACGCAGGTGTAGAGAGGACAGAAGCCAGGGGAGCCAGAGGGAGTCACACATCTCCCAGGCCTGGGGTGGAGGCCTCCTGAGGGACCACCCTCTTCTTTTCTTCTTTCCCAGTGGAACTGAAACAAAGAAAGCCATCTGTAGTCTTTGTTTCCCTAGAGATAACTTGGTGGTGTCCCACCACTTGAGATCAAAGTGGGCTGAAGTAAGTCTCACATCCCACGATACCAGAGAACACACTATCTCTAATGGACTTTGTACATCTTGTATCCCCCAAAGCTTGGCTCCTCAGGGAGGCACTTCTGAGAGCAGAGGGACTTTAAGAGGCAGGGTCTGGTCGGGTGGTCTTTGTGTCACTGGGGATGTGCCTTTGAAAGGAGTTGGGGTTCTGTTCTCTCCTTTTTTCCCTTTTCCTCCCCCTGCCCTTTGAAGGGGGTGGCTTGGTGCTCCTACCTTGCAGACTTGGCTCCAAAGTCTTACAGACGGAAAGTTTGTCCCATTAACAACTGAAACCTTTAAAACCAAGGCCCCCAAATGTTCTCCCTCCTCCAAGCCACCTCAGGGGCTTGTTATGTTGACAGAGGGGGTAAACCACATCATCAGATTACACTCCTAGGACCCTCCGGCAGGTTCTACTCTCTTCCTGGCCCCAGTGAGATATGACAGAAAAGAAAGAGGTAGTTGATGTCTGCAGCTGAGGCAACCATCCTGTAATCATGAGGGAAATTGGTCTGAGGTGGTCCACTCGGGAGGGAACACGGCATGAAGACTGGACCCCTACTGATGTCACTGCAGGACTGAATTAAAGCCCGGGGCCATTCTACTCTGGACTGCCTGACTCAGGAGATACCTCTGCTTTGATGTTTAAGCACCTTTGAGTTAGTTTTCTCATAGCAGGAAGCATTTGTGTCCCCCCATTTCTGCTCTGCTGAGTCCCCACTGCAGTCCACCAGCATGGACCAGCACCCCAACTCTGGGGAAACCCACACTCCAGTTCCCTTTCACAACCCCCCAAACTGTGCCTGATGTGGCTGGATGTTTGTTACATAACCACTGCAGCCTAGAGAAGCTGAAGGCTGTGTTCAAAATCCCAGGTTGCAGGGAGCTAGGGAAGTTGCTATGAAAACTGCCTAGACTAGTGGTCTCAGCCTTCCTAATGCTGGGACCCTTTAATACAGATACTCATGTTGTGGTGACCCCCAACCATGAAATTATTTTGTTGCTACTGTAATTTTGCTACTGTTATGAATCTTAGTGTAAATATCTGTGTTTTCTGATGGTCTTAGATGACCCCTGTGAAAAGTTTGTTGCCACCCACAGGTTGAGAACCACTGGTTTAGAGGAGGGTCATTCCCATACCCTCAGAGCCAGTACCCCCTCCCTGCCAATGCCTCCCCCAGCTTGCCTAGTGTTCTAATAATGTAGGCAAGGGAGGATGGAGGCTGGGCCTGGGGCTGGGCCAGAAGGCCTCATGGAGGGAGTAGGCTGTTCTGAGCTACTGCTCGTGTGCCCATTGTAGGGTGAAAGCAACAACTGATTATAGATATTTGCTCTGAGCAAGTGCTCTCTTGTAATGGCCCAGGGCCCCATGAGGGCCCTCCCCAGAGTTATTGTGTTTAAAGCACACTGCTTTGATCCTGAGTGCTACTAGGGACAAAAACCAAACCAAAAAGAACTTCTAAGACCCAAGCAATCAAACCCACCTACCCTGCAAGCTTGCTGCTTTCTGGGAAAGGACTGAGGGTCAGGAGAAGGGCCTGAAAGGGAACACCAGGGGCCTATGTCTCTGGATCCCAAGGCCTCCTACCACAATGCTAAGTGGAGCCCTAAGAGTCCCTAGGACTGTCTCTCCTGCCCTGAGCAGACAAGGAATGTCCCTTTTGTCCTGCCTTACTTCCCCACCCAGAACTCTCAGCTCTGAGTGCCTCTCCCTCTGCTGAGTCCTCTGGTTGTGACCCAGGTAGAAACGCTGGGTATGGTGACATGTGGAGACTTGGGGCTCACTGGCCAGTCATCCTGGCCAACTTGGTAAGCTCCAGGTTAGAGATCCTGTCTCAAAATACAAGGTGGGCATCTCTATAGAGGAGCAACACATGAGGTGGACAGCTGACTTCCACACACAACACATTCACACTTATACCCATATATGCAGCCACATGAACACGCACAGAACTCTCTCTCTCTCTCTCTCTCTCTCTCTCTCTCTCTCTCTCTCTCTCTCTCTCTCTCTCTCTCTCTCTCTCTCTCTCTCTCTCTCTCTCTCCTCTCCTCTCCTCTCCTCTCCTCTCTACAAAACTAAGCATGACCAGGATAAAGTGGCCATGGTAGTAGACAGTATCCGCTGCTGTTTGCATTAATTATCCTACCCTTTCCCACAAACCTCCAAACCACTGAAACCTCCATTCCCAGCTATGGACTGCCACAGTGTTTAACAAGACCATATGGAAGGTTCTGGAATGAATGAAAGGATCTATATCATAGAGGCCAAGTCCAAACAATGGTTATCCCATCAGGGTGGCTGTCTTCAGAGCTCCCGGCATAGGAGCAGAGGAATACATCACATTGTTAGTGAGGAGAGGGTGGCTATCCCGATTCCACACAGACCGTGATAAATCCACCCTTCCTCTGCCCTCTGTCTCAACCCTTGGTGGATCCCAGTGTACCCCGGTTAGAGCAACGTTCTCCCATCTACTCACACAATGCTCATCTCTTCTAGAAGAGCCCAGAAGTCAGATGTGAATGTGTGCCTCACCACAGGCAGCATCTTTGTTCTTGTGAGCCCCAGGAGTTAGTTCCATGAGTCAGGATCTCTGGGGCAGTACCGATGTCCGGGGAGGGGTTTCCTAAGTTCATTCATGGTTGGGTATCTCCTGCGATCATGTCAGGTCATCAGTCGACCTGCAGGCCACCACCCTGGTCTGCTACAGACTGCTGGCAGGGTCTTCAGCACCAAACCCTGATCCACGGCTACAGTGTGTGCATCTTTGTAAGCCCAAATGACAGCATGCAGCCATAGTCACCATGGACACCCAACCCATTCTTTCCAAAGCAGCTGAGGTCAGAACAAGGACAGAACTCTGCTAGACACAGCCTGACCCCTGCTGTCCCCATCTGGGGATGCTGCAGTCTGGAGCAGCTGCCTTGGGCTCCTCCTCCTCAGCATGAGGTCTAAGGGAGGGCTACCTGCAAACAACCACAAAACTCACCTTTTTATCACAGATGGTGATTCTGGAAGATGTTCAGACCTATGCCTGGGGGCAACTTGTTACCTCTAAATAAAGGGGTTCCCTCTGCTTGCTTTTTTTGTTTTTGTTTTGTTGTTGTTTTAGAGTCTTGGAGTCTTCTTGTGGCTTGTGCACTTTGACACAAGTAGTTAACATGGGAACCAGGTACAACAACTCAGTGCTGGTACTAGAAGAGAGAGACAAAAAGACCACGAGTTCAAGGGCATCCTCTACCATGCAGCAACTATGAGGACAGCCTTAAAGAAAAAAAAAAAAAGACAGGGCACAAGGGACCCCTGTGTACTAAGAACATCTGCAACCTGGGACAAGTGAGTGGACACAGACTTAGACCTTGGGGGACGCAGAGTGACACAGAGGAGGAAATTCAGTGGTTATATTGTCAAGGGTAGATGGAAGAGACAGAGAAGCAGGAATGGGAGCTAGCTCCCGGGGCCCAGCTGGGCTTATATGCGGCTTTGCTCCTGTGGCATCCCAGGTTCTGAAACTGGAACCCAGTGAGCTGTGTTATGGGCTGGGGGCAGCAGAGAATGCCTTCCCCCCATTTATTCAATATTGTACCATCTTTTGAATTATGTGTATGTGTGTGGGTGCATGCATGTGCGTACTTACCCAAGGAGGCCAGAAGAGGATGTTGGATCCCGTGGAGTTGAAGCTATGGGCAGCTGTGAGTCACCTGATGTGGGTGCTGGGCACTGAACTCAGGTCCTTTGGAAGAGCAGTGTGGACTCTTAATTGTTGAGTCACCTTTCCAGTCCTGTGTAGATCTTCGGGTCTCTTGCTGGGTTGCTGGTGACAATGAAATGATTAAGGAACCCAGATGGTCTTTGTCCCGTGAGTACTCCCTCAGAATTAACACAAAGGCAGGGAATTACCCAAATGATCTCACGATGAAGACAGTGGCCGCTAGCTGTCATCATTATATACGTTGCCTGCTGCTGCATCCTGACAGAAAGCAAACCTAAGGAAGGGTTTGTTTGGGCTCACAGTTTGAAGGCACTGGCCGTCATGGCTGGAACGGCGTGGGGTAGGAGCGTGAAGCAGTCGATGGCATCACATCCAGTCAGGAAACACAAAGGTTAAGCGTTGGCACTCAGTCCAATTTCCCCTTTGTCTGTGGAGGTCAGAGGACAACTTGGGAGAGTTAGTTCTTGCCTTCTATTATGGGTCTCCCGTTTGGTTCCCAGCACCCATGAGGGGCCACTACAGTCTATAACTTTGACTCCAGGGGATACAATGCTCCCTTCTGGCCTCACATGATATATGTATGCATGCATATTTGGGACGGGGTCTCACTATGTAGTTTTGGTTGATTTGGAGGTTGAATTCACAAAGATACATCTGCCTCTGCCTTCTGAGTACTGGCACGAGAGGAGTGTGCCACCTCGTCCCTCCCCATCTTAAAGACTCCCCCTCCAGCCCTTGGGTTCTCTGAATCCTATGCTTTCAGACCGGGAGGGCAACAGTCAAGGTCCCTAAGTACAGCCAGAAAGTCCCATTCCCACGTACTCTTAAACACTAGCATGGGCAGCTGGAATCACGTGGTACAGGAAGTGGGCAAGCTGTGCGTGCCAGGCGTCAAGGGGTTGGGGCTTCAGGCCCAGAGCGCATCATGATTGGCCATCAAGGCAGCTCTGAGGCGCATGCGCCGAGCCTGGTCTTCCGGCTTAGCTGACCCAGTCGGGCGGCTGTTTTGGCGGGAGTTGGCGGCCGGCCGGTGTGAGGTGAGGTGAGCTTCGTGGGACCCGTGTGCTGGGTTGGGTCAAGCCAGGCTGGGCTGTGCGGGGCTTTGGGTCAGGCAGGGACTAATATCCCCGTGTGGGGAACTCGGGCTGGTGGGTAGTCTTGTGGCTGGGCAGCACACAGACAAACCCTCAAGGGCACGCGGCCTAGCTGGTGGCCTGGGAGAGGCCCACTTTGCTCTTTGCTTGGTTTCCGGCACTTGAGACCCAGAGGACAGCGGCAAGCATGGACTTCCTGTGCTGCCTCTGAGACAGGCCTTGTCCTCTATGTTGGGTTTAACGTGTGGCTTCCTAGCAGATGCAATAGGGGTATTTGCTGGAGCTGAGCCTTTAAAGTTAAGTTCTGTGATGCTTGGTAGGGCAGGGACGTTCTACATTGTGGGGGAAGGTTTGCATTTCAGCCTTTGGTCAAGAGGTACATAGGAGCCAGGCACAAGTGTTTCCTGTGTAGGGGGTTAGGAGAGCTCAGAGTGAGTGAAAGGGACAGTGGCCTCTGGGCTCCCTCCAGCTGAGACCCTGTGGGGTATTTGCTCAGAGATGCCACGTCTCAAGGTTATTTTTACAGCAGCAGCTGGAAACCCCCGCTCTTTATATAACAAGCTCTCGGCTTTTAAATGTTGGCCTTAATTCATAAGATTTTAGCACATCATGTAGCCAGTGAGAAGATATATGTCAACTGCATTTGGCCCTTGGGGAAGATGTTCATCTATGCAGACTGCCAGCGGCCCTCTGTATCCTGGTGCTTGAGAAACTGAGGAGGGGATGTAGAATTCAAAGCCAGTCTGGGAAACATAGCAAGACACTACCTTAACAAAAGTGAGGCATGTCCCCAGAGTGACCTGGGTTGCACGGGCTACGTAGTTGACTTAATTGGCTCATAAGAACTGCTCCTTGCTTTGCTTTTTGCTCTGTTCTTTTAGAGCTAGCACTGGAGTCGGAATTTGAGGTTAGGATTGGTCTGGGGCTGAGGAGTATCAGACATCTTCCTTGCAACCCTAACCCCTTACATTGCAGCCGTGATTTGGGGCCTCCCTGTGCTTATGGTCTGCATGGGGCTGTGAGGACATTTTTCAAAATAGGGAATGTATTTGAAGTGAGATCTCCAGAGCCTGTGTGGACATGAATCAGAACCCGGTTATTGCTTGGCTTCAGGGTACTAAATAGCACCAAAGGGAGACAAGGAGCACCCAACGAATTCCTGGAAACTAAGTCATAGGCATCTGGCTCTCTGGGTTCTCTCCATGCCCCTGAATTGCTGGGTCTACAGTGAATATTTTGCAGCTCTTGCTCTCAGGACAATTTCAGATGACACGGAGGAAGTGAAACGAGAACCCTCGAGGCCTTCACATGGATGCTTTTCTGGCAGTCTTGGGCCCTGGAACTCACAGAAGAAAAAAAAAGAATCTAGACATATCATGAACTTACAGTCCCAGCAGACTTTCTGGTCTCAAGAATCAAGAAGGCATTCTCAGGCTGGCATGCAGCTAGTGTGATTGGGTAGAAAAAAGAATGTAAATAATGAGGCCAGTCTGCTCGTCGCGGACATGGTGGGAGATCAGGGAAGGGGACCTTCTTGGGCAGGAGTTTGTCTTCCATGGATGGGTAATGGATCTGGGCTTCTGAAGAGAGCTGCTGAGCAGGACTTGGTGGGTTTGTGAAGAGAGTGTTCTGTTCCTTGTGGCCCCTTCTTGCTGTTATAGCCCAGTCCAACCAAGCTTTTCCTTCTGCACTGTGAATCTTGAGTTGCAATCCCAGTTGGTGTTAGGAGACATCTGGATGTGTGGATGGAAGACAACTATCCCCCTCATGTCGGCCTGAGTTAGCCCCTCACTTTTCTAGTTATCTGACTTCCTGGAGGTACCGCTTGTGTCAGGGATTAGCTTGAACTGAGCCTCCAGTTTCCTGGTGATCACCCTCATTGCTGCTGGCCTGGCTGCCATCTGTTTCGGGTAGACTATGGATCACCTCACATACCCTTGGATTATGGCTCAGGTCCCATGGAGTTCCACCCTTTCACCTCTTTAGGTCAGGTTCATGTGGAGAGAGACAGAGTGCTTAGTTTACAGATCTTACAGACTTCATGGATGCCATGTTGAAATCCAATCCCCAAGACCAGCAGATGGGCAACCACAGTGGTCAGGAGGTAATGTGAGAATTCTCACACCCTTTGTCCTCTTACCCATCTTGTGACATTCACTCCTGATGTACCCTCCCTCTGCCAAGGACCCTGTGTTTGCTCCTCTCTCCTGTGGCTCTTTTCCAGACCAGCCCTTGGGCCTCAGGCTTTGGGATGAAGATGGAGGCCATCACTCCATTCCTGGGAAAGTACCGCCCCTTTATGGGTCGATGCTGCCAGACCTGTACTCCGAAGAGCTGGGTAAGTGATGGTACAGATGGGCCTCCCTTGTAGCTTAGTTCTGGGAGTGAGGATGCTGGGAAGCTGTCTTTCCAAGCTTGATCTTTGAACTACACCATGTCTTTGCCCTTCAGATGCACCAGGGTCTGTTGTTGGGATGTGGCTTGGGAGAATTGGGTAGGAAGCCTCAGGAGACATAGATTGGAATATACATGCCTAGGTCTGCACTAGGTCTGTTCAGTCTGGGGACACTGTCTACTCAGATCTCATAGCACTTAGCATCTCTTGTATGTTCATATCAAGGGGGAGGGCTCAGCATTCTAATGGAGATTCAGGTTACAGACGGTCTGCTCTTGATGAGTTAAAACCCCTACTCAGAGTATTTTAATTTGCTTATCTCTAAGAGGGCAGCTCCAAACGGGGCAGTGGTTTCCATTCTAAGCATGAAGCCTTTTTCTTTCTGAGCCAACACTGGGATCTGGGGGCAGACATCTGGGAGATGTACTCTGTACTTTTCCTTCTGGTAGACTCAAAGGGTAATCAGACAGGGGCTAGATGGGCAGGGTACAGACTTGGGTTGCAAAGATCCCCAGGATGTGCTGTCCCTTCCCTCTTGGGCAGGAGTCCCTTTTCCACAGAAGCATAATGGATCTGGGCTTCTGCAATGTGATCCTTGTGAAGGAAGAGAACACCAGGTAGCCAGAGCTGGGGATGCAGGGTGGTGGGTTACCAGGGCCCTTTATGGTATCATTTTCTTTCTGCAAGGCCAAAGAAGGGCCCCTGTCCTCTCCTACATAACCACAGGAAACTGAGGCAAGCTTTCCTCTCCTCAAGTTCCTCCCATGAGCATGTATGGGTTGCCCCCAGTGCTCCCTCAGTGGGGAGGAGGATGGGACTAGGGACCAGATAGCCACATGGCTCTTTTCTTTCTTTTTTTGCTCCATGGTGGAGCTTGGTCCTGGGACATGAGACGGGTGCAAACCCTTCCTGATGAATAGACCTCTGTGGACCCTGGGCGGGGGGGGGGTCTCTAAACTATCTTCCCCCAGGTTTCGGGGATGGCTGGTTCGCAGGCTCTGCTATTTCCTGTGGTCCCTGGAGCAGCACATACCCACCAGCTCTGATGTCTCCCAGAAGATCATGGAAAACACTGGGTGAGGAGGCAGAATCAGAGTGGCACCTGTGGGACAGTTAAAAGGGTGACAGAGGCTCTGTCAGGGTGGCCAAGGCTGGCTGAGGCAAGGTTTCTGGAATGTTACCTGAAGGCTGGCTGAGGCAAGGTTTCTGGAATGTTACCTGCTTGGGCCCATATTGGACTCCTGGCTATGCACTGGGGAAGTGACTGGAGAGACCAACACTGTTCCCCTAACCTCAACAGGGTGCAGAAGCTCCTCTCGGGGAGGGCTCCAGGAGGGGCTGGAGAAGGTCAGGCGCCTGACCTAGTGATGAAAGAGGTACAGCGCATCCTGGGCCACATTCAGGCCACCCTCTGCCCCTTCTTGCTCAGGTAATGATGGCGAGGGCTTGGAAAAGCACCAAATACTCTTCCTTAGTACCTGGGTGGTAGCCTACCCTGCCTGCGTTCATACAGTACAGGTCTGCACACTTAGATGCAGGGGATTAGAGAGGTGGACAGCGATACAACTGCTCAAAGAAAGGGCTGAGTCAGAGTTCCCAGGAGGAGGGAGTATTGTAGTTAGAGTCAGAGCGAAGAAAGCCAGCCCTGGACGGCACAGTTTCTTTACAGGGGAGAGCCTGAGTCAGGGCCATGAACAGGAGAGGGCCAGGCTCATGGAAAATAGTGACATGGCTGGAAGCTGATGGGTGAAGCAGAGAGCAGCTGGAGAAGAATTTGAGGTAGAAGGACCAGGTCAGAGCCATATAAGCAGTTCAGGCTGCTCCAAGGGCAGTGAAATCAGCAGAAAAGTTTGAAGTGAAAAGAGGCAGCATGGTGAATTGGGATTGAGAGCAGAGACTGGCATCTCTGCAAAGCTGTTAGTCCCATTGAGAGATGACTGACAGGCATTGACGAGAGTAGATTGAGAGGCTACGGTGGGAATAATGGGACTCATGAATAGATTGGGTGGTGGGAGGAAAAGAGAAAAATACAGGAAATCCCTGTTTTCTGACCTCGTACCTGGGGGTGTATACAGAGAGGGTGGGCTTGGTCAGAAGGGAATTAATTGGCCCCGGATGTCTGACTTGAGAACTTGGTTGTCTGTGTAGGTCTGGGAGCTCAGAAGGGACATATGTGCAGAGCTGTAGTATACAGCTTGTGTTACAGCCAGGGGATGAGTGAAGCTGCTGAAGGGGGCTGGGGTTGTGCGTCAGCTCCAGCTGTGGGGATCTTGACCAGTCCTCCACTGTAACAGTCTTGACTCTGTTGAGGCTTTCAGGCTCTTGACCTCATGGTTCTCGTGCCCTTGTATAGGAGTTCCAGCACAACCCTAGCCGCTGCCTGCTTCCTCTATGCACCTAGGTAGTCGGGTGGCCTTAGAGTACAGCTTTTATAGGGACACGGCCTTCCCTAGTGTTCCCACAGCTTCTCAGGATTGCCCCCATTTATTACTCCATCAGATGTGGTCTTGCTGCTTGTTCATAAGATTTCCTCTACCTACTT